CTCCTGAAGCATTTCTTCCTCAGACCCCCTCCCACCTGCGTCTGGTTTCTAGGCATTCACTTATTCTGGGTGTTTCATTTGCATGAGACATACACACTCTGTCCATGTATGGCTCAGCTCACTCGGCTTGTTTTCAAAGTTTATTCGTGACATAGCGTGTCCCAGGGCCTCGTTTTTCCTTCACGTCGTCCTACTAGGTGCCATCCAGTCCATTCCAACCCATAGCGACCCGGCACACGGCAGACTGAAACACCGCCGGCCCGGCCAGCCTCACCGTGGTTCCTGTGCGTGAGCCCATTCCATTGTATAGATGTATGAGAGGGCTTCAAAACTTGGTTGAAAGGCGGAGTGAAAAGGTAGTGGCGTTTTCCCGTGAACTTTTGAAGTCCCCTGGAGCTCTGGGGGCGTCGGGGTCACCCATTGGGCTGCTAACGGTGCAAGATCCTCAGTTTGAAACCGCAAGCCTCTCTGTGCGCCAAAGATGAGGCTTTCTACTCCCATAAAGAGTTACAGTGTCAGAAACCCACAGGGGCAGTTCTACCCTGTCCTATAGGGTCACCGTGAGTCAGAATTGACCTGTGAATTTGGAGCTTTTGCACAGGTATGTGTTGCTTAATGTCCACAAAATTTTCTGTGAAATAGGATACAACGTGATTTCCCCTTTGTGCAAATATGTACATCCTAACTCCAAAGGACTCCTAGTACACTGGCCTGGTAGTATGTGGTTCAGGTAGTTCCCGCTGCCGATTCCTGGGGTGAACACTAAGCCATGTCCCACCTGGCAACAATGACCTTTTCTGCTAAGCCAGCTACCGGGAAGGTCAATTTACCCATGAGAAGAATCTACTCAGGGAGAGGATGGTGTGGGCCTAGGGGAACAAGAACACCTGAGCCAAGGCTGGGGCACCTGGGCACCTACTTTTCCTAGGGTGTCCTCCAGGGCCACTCTGGACTAGACCTGCCTAGTCACAGGAGCCGAGGGAGGACCAGACATGGGAGTTATTGCCTGGGCACAGCATCTAGATGAAGTGGGGTTTTGACCTCAAGACCAGGGCCTAGCATTCCTGTACTCAGACATGCTAGTGCTTCCAAACAGACATGAGCAATGTATTCCTGCACCACTAATTTATCTGTGAGTGATCTTTTCATCTTTTTTGGCTACTGTGAAGAAGACTGCCATGAACACTGGTGTACAACTGTCTGTTTGAGCCCCTCCTTTCAAATCCTTTGCCATGGAATTCCTTAGTAAAATGTAATCCTATGTATTTTGGTGGGTTTTTTGTTTGTATTTTGAGGCATCACCATAGTGTTTTCCACAGTGGCTATATCAGTTTTTTTTAAACCATTTTATTGAGGGCTCGTACAGCTTTTATCACGATCCGTGTATTCCTCCTTTGTGTCAATTTGCACGTCAATTTATATTTCTAATCCTAACCATGGAGGAGGGTTTCGATTTCTCTACATCTTCTGTTGTTATTTTCCAGGTAAGAGCCATTCGAGTGTGTTTGAACTGATATCTTGTTATAGCTCTGATATGTGTCAGGCTGCTAACCATGAGGTCAGAGTTTCAAAGCCCCCACTCATTACATAGAAGAAAGATGAGATTTTCTGCTCCTGTGAAGATTTACAGCCTCAGAAACTCGGGGGCAATTCTGTCCTGTCCTACAGGGACTCTATGGGTCAGAAGAGAGTCATTGGCAGTGGATTGGGGGGGGGGGTTGTTTTTTTTATTTTGACATATTTTCTTGTGTTTATCAAATCTTTGTATAACTTCTTTGGTGAAATGTCTATTAAGTCCTTAGCTCATTATTTAATTGGGCTGTTTACCTTCTTGTTGTTATGCTATAGAAATGGTGTATGCACTCTGGGCATCAAACCCTAATCAGATATAAATGGTCCCCCCATCTACTGGTGGTCACTTCATTTTGTTTATAAAGTTCTTGGATCCTCCGAAGAGCAGCATTGTTCATTTCCATTGACCTGGTCTGTCTGTGTGCATTTGGTCTCTCGTCTGGGAAGGCGTTGTTGAAAACGCAATCACAAAGCATTGCTCTCGTGTTTCCTTTGCATCGCTTTTCTGTTTCCATTTTCACAGGGAAGGCCTTGGATCCATTCTGGGTTAATTTTTGTATGTGATGTCAGATGTGCCCCCCCCCCTTTCCCTGGGCTACGTAGACGTTATTCCTTTGTTCTTTGTGGTCAAAACCAAACAACCAACTATCACCTTGATCATCTAATATCCTTCAGCTTAGGACTCTCAAGGCCAGCTCAGGTTTTCTCTCTTTCTTTTCAATGGAAATGTTCCCTAAGTACTTCCTCTTTAACGAAGATGCTGCGCTCCGTTCAACTCATGCCTTCATCGTGAGTTGATTTGTAATGCTTCCTCTCTCACCATTTCTTGCACTGAGCACTTCTTCGGAGCTAATTTCAGCAACTAATGTACATTTAAGTCTGTTTCATTTTGTTGTGTTTCTGTTTTAAGAGAGAGAAAGTGTCTCTCGTGACTTGGGCTTTTAACACTGACTCTCTTGCACAGCCTGTATCTGAGACAACCTTGGTGGTCTAGAATACTGCACATTCGTCTACGAGTTGGACAATAAACTGCATGTGTGGGTTTGTCTGGGACCTCTCAGCTTTTTGCATTGCCAGTCTCTGGTGTCATCAGTCATTAGTCGTCAGGTCGCCCATCTGCCGGCCAGAAAGCATCCCTGGCTGAGCTGAGTTAGTAAATCAGAGCCGGGCAGGCCGCCCGGCCACCAGAACATGTAGCTAGGCTTGGGACAGTCCTCCCCTTTGATCCTGTGGAGGAGGCTCATTTGATCAGACCACGTGGGAGCCCCGCCCCGCCTGCGGAGGTGCAGGGCCGACTGCAGGCTCAGCAGTGATGCTCGCTCTCATGCATCCCGACTTCAGTTTCTCGTTTCCAAGCAGTGAGCGAGGCTCTGAGGCCTGCAGGGAGCTGTGTCACGTGTGCTTCTTCTTGCCCTGCTGCTTCCTTTTGAATTCTCGCCATGGGGTGGTGGTGGCACCGCAGCAACAGAATGCAAACCCCTGTCCCAAACACAGACATCTCCAGCAGATGATCCCCAGTCATGACTTGCTACTTGGGGCAGTGACCTGTGTCCAGACCTGTCTTCCTAAGTCATAGACATTTCAAATAATCCCCATGGGCCCTCAGCAGCGCACACACGTGCAGCATCTCATTCGATTCTACCCCTCCGGGAACAAGCCCCAGTGGCACCGTGCTTATTTACCAAGCCCTCAGCTCTGAAACAAACCCACTGGCCACGCCACAGGAGGACAATGTGGGAGGAAGATGCTCCCTTAAAGATGCTAGCATTGGAAAATGCTATGGGGCAGGTCTCCTCTGTCCGGCTGCGTCACACCGAGGCAGAATCAACGAGACAGCAGTGAGTTTGCTTTGAGTTTTATCATCCGTTTGCGAGGAGCCCAACTTGCAGAGAAGAACAGCAAGCCACTGCCCAAAGGTCACCACTGTCGGATGCGAAGCAGTCAGACTTGAGTCCGGGTAGGCCTCAATCCAAGCACAAGTTCTTTACCACTCCACTTATGACCCAGGAAGTTTTATGGGCACCCTCATGGGCTCTCCCACACCCCCCCCAACTTCTTCCTCCCGGACCCCACCCCACCAGCCACAACAAAGGGAGAGTGACAGTGATCAGCTCTGGGATGCAAGCAAAAAATGCACATGTCTGCTTTTGTCGTCGGGAAATATTCTCCATCTTCAGCTTTGCTTTGGCTAGGGAGAAAGGAGCCTCAAGGACGGTCTTGGCCGGCTTTCATTTGTGTCCTGAGTGCCCAGGTGCAGACGTCACTTACCTTATGTTCTTTGTGTTTAATGAAAAATTGTTCTCTGTAAATGGAATACTTGAAATCAGAGCACAAAGTAGGGAGTGAAAGGATTCCCAGCACGACCCCCTCCCGCCGCCTCTCCACCCCCCACCACCACCACCACCACCTCTCCATGACTCTCTCTCATTTCCTCACTTTTCTTTGGAGCTCTTCACTGGTTGGTATGAGTGATTTCAGGAGAGAAACAGGATTCTGTTGGGCTGATAAAAAAGCATTCACAATGTGCATGGAATGTAAGAAAGTTTCATTAATAATCATCTGTATTGTCAATAGAAACTATATGCAATTGATACAAAAATAACAAAATAGCAGTTAAGAGAGAATCAACCAATGCATTTTGTAAATCTGTTCGGACCAACCAAGTTTAGGTGTGTCCTAGCAAAAGACCGGAAACTCCCACCTGGAAAGAACCCATAGAAACATCAGGGCTTAAGGCCCAAACGTGGTCACATTGAACACATGAGATATGAACATGAAATATACACAATAGAGGACTCTTTGCCGAGAAAAAGTTCGTTAAAAATGGAACTGGAACAAAAGACAAATTAAAGAGTGTAGGCAAATCTATAAGGGCTGTCAAAGGTTTGTATGCACCGTTAAAAGAAAGGGAGAGGTCGGACATGGCAAGATATGACAAAATAATGATTTATAAATTATCAAGGGCTCATGAGGGAGGGGGGAGCAGGGAGGGAGGGGAAAAATGAGGACTTAATGCCGGGGGCTTAAGTGGAGAGGAAATGTTTTGAGAATGATGAGGGCAATGAATGTACAAATGCGCTTTACACAATTGATGTATGTATGGATTGTGATAAGAGTCATATGAGCCCCTAATAAAACGATTATAAAAAATTAAAAAAAAGAAAAGTTAGAGATGATTTGTCTCCCTGTCCCAACAGGCGGGTACAGAGTACTCATTAATTTTTATGTGTTTCTTTGTTTGCTGGTTTGTCTTGGGGTTGATTTGCTCGGGGTTTATTTCTGTGCTTTCTTTCTGGACTGCGTATAAACACTGCTGGGGGCTCTGCACAAGGGAGAGCTCCCTGCTGGACACAATGCCTGGCCGGCAGTAGGAATCCGGCAAATGTGTGGGTTCTTACCTGAATTGACTTCTGAACTTCTCTTCACAGCTAGCGAGAAGCAGATGACGGTGGTGTGCAAGGAGTCCCCGAAAGAGTACCTCCAGCCTTTCAAAGACAAACTAGAAGAGTTCTTCCAGAAAGGTAGGCCACTTTGTTGAGTGTGCGTTCATAACACTTTGAAATGTCCTTCATCGCACAGGGCACTCTCTGCCGACAGGCCCTGCCATCCCAGCGGGGCTGACCTCAAACAGTTGCTGTGATCCCATTAGTCCATCTCACCTGCATCTGCAATGTGCCTGGAGCTCATATCACCTGTCAGTCGCTTAAAGCATCTAAAGTCACCCTTGTATTTGTACACATTTGAAGGCCGATCGTTGTTTTGGTTTGTCCTTGTCTTGTCACGGAGCTGTTCATTTGTGGTCCATGTCAACTGACAGGTGACGGATGTGTAAGGTTTATGCAGTCACGCATTTCAGATCTGTGGTCAGCCTGGACACAGGTGGATAATGATTACCCTCCTGGCTTTATCAGCAAATTGGAAACGTGTGTTGTATTTTCCATTCCTTTGCAGAAAGGCAAATTGGGGCCAGGTGAATGTCACACACCCAGTCACTTGGCACACACTGACCTTTGTGGTCAGTAGGTGGGACTGCTGTGTATGGGACTCGGCACATTATTTAGAAATCCTACCAGGCTAGTTTCCATCCCCCGTGATCTTGGCAGGCATAGGGAACTTTTTCATTGACCACTCTCTGCACACTTGCGAGTCTAATGTCTTTTAGACATTTCCTATTCTAATTTCTCAAATGCAGCTTGAGCTATGAAACAGAAATAGGATGGATTGGCTGGAGGAAGCATTTGTCGTTGCTAGAAGACTAGAGGAAATGCACGTAGGAACATTTGGAGGATAGGTCGACATGCTGTTTCTATTATTGGATAAGGCCACAGGATACCACATCATCAGCAAAAACTGTTAATCAGGGTGAATCCATAAAGTATGGCCAAACCACCTTGGGGATTGGCTGAGAAATTCGTAGTCCTTGAGTCAGAGGAACTCCGTTCCAGCTGCTCCCTGGATGCACGCGACGCTCATCGAGCCCCGGCGTGAGGAGGGCTGTTGGATTTGAAGCCAGAGAAGTCTGAGTGCCCCTGTGGCCACTGCTGAACCTTCTCGACGAGGGAACTTGCGCTGCTGGGCAGAGTGCCGTCTGCAGACAAGCAATGATACCAACTCTACATGTTAATGTCACTGTAACTAATAGGCTTTCTAGCCGATGGATCAAGATAAACTCACGACTTCCTAGTTGTACCATATAAATGCAACCTAGTGGACTATAGGAAAATATCGAATACTACCCTTTGCTTACCCCCAATGATTAATTCTGCTTCTGACCTCTGTTGAATTTGAAATTAGATTCAATACTGAGATACTATTTTTTAATTGCTATTTTTTCTGTTTCTGAGTAATTGTGCAGTGTGCATATCTGGGTAATCTGCCTTCCATGTGTGACAGCTTGGTAAAACTTTTTCATCAAGCTCATTAGCATCTTAAAGCATTTTTACTGTGAATACATTCTTTTTGGTGTTTAGGGTTTAAGTGACATAGATTGATTCAGAACCTTGAAAATCATCTTTAGTGCCTAAGGTAAATCATTTGTGCCTTAGTGCCTAAGTGCCTAAGGTAAATAATTTGAAAGTCATGGTTCAAAGTTATATGTTAGTTGCTTCTCTGCTCAGATTCTTAAACGTTTGCCCTGCTCAGAGAAACTAGATCATGCGGTAGAAGGAACGATGTGGTTCCAATAGGCTGTTCTAAGAAAGCCCAAGAGCAGTGGTTTTCAATCATCGAAGCACTTGGAAAAGATTTTTTAAAATCTCGGCATCAAGGCTAAAGGTCATACCAATGACCCCAGCATCTCTAGGGTCCAGAGCAGACATCCGTATTTAAAAACAAAACAAAAACTCTTTTCCCATATGAAGCCCAAGTTCAGAATCACTTGTTGTCAATCACTTTGTTCACGTTTAATGTATAGTCAAAGTTATGTCTTTTTAGTCTGGAGAATATAGTCAACTCTCCATTAATGAATATCATGAAAAGGGAGGTGGGGAAGCTATGAAAGATAACTAAAAATCATCGTTAAAACAAAGTCGATTAAAAGAGCGATTTGGGGATCCTTTAAAAGGAATTTAAAGGTAGTAGTTACCATTCTATTAAATAATTTTAAAATGCAAATGTATATGATTGTCAGAATCTTAAATATCTCAAAACTGCTCAATGCAAAGGACCAGGCTCGATAGCCTGTTCCTTTTAGCTCATCTCTTATCTGAGTTGGTAGAAAAACAAAACAAAACGAGAATTAAGCTGTGTGATATGTCAGCCACTAGCCACATGTATGTATCAAGTTGATGAGGCATTGAAATGTGGCTAACTGGAATCAAGATGTTCTGTAAATATAAAACACACATCGTATTTTTAAGCATTTGTAAAGAAAAACTAAAGGAGAATGTATAATTTATATTGTTAAAATATTGATTGTATGTTAAAATCAGTATAGTGTTGATATGCCCTTGGTTTGCCTGTAATAAATGCTCTAGGCGGCTAGTCTTGAAACTGCCAAATGGTTCCCTGGGACTTTTCTAAAATACGTAAAAGCCTCCTTTATTAACTTGCATGGACACGATTTTGGATCCATTATGTTAAATAAGTAAAATACACTATGGTTCATGTGCCTAGCTCTTTTACTTTTCATGTGTGGCTACCAGAAACCTTAAATTGCGTAATGTGACTCTTATTATATTTCAGTCAGCAATGCTAGTCTAGAAGTGTGGTCCCGGCCTTCCTCACGCCATTCCATCGCTTTCTCTACGTTCTCAGCTTGGACCTCGGGCGGTTGGAATGCAAGCTTCCAGAGCTAGCCGCCATGCCCACCTTTGCTCTGGGTGTGCTCATGGTTAGTCTTTCTGTAGGTTAGCGTGACAGGGAGGAGCTGGCATTCTACGCTGGAAAGTCAGGACACATCTCATGATTCCGAGAGTGAGGCTCTGCCCACTTGTACTATATTGAAACAAGGTATCACCTGACGTCTCAGGAATGTCCAATAGCAGTTCCTAATGATTTCACTGGTTCATAGAATTTTAAGGATTCCTGGCCCACCCCCACCAATATGCACTATCAACCCTCAGGTAATTAAAAGATTACAGGCATTAGTGTGCAGCTTAAATATAGTACTTCCTGCCAGACAAAGGGACAGTCATAGTGAGATGTACCATCCTTTTATGTTTTACTAAGAAAGAGGGAGCTCAGGGTCAGCACGCTGCTGGTCACTGAAAGGTGGGCTGTGTGAATACACCCAGCAGCTCTTCCACAGAAAGACCTGGCCAATCTGCTTCCAGGAAGACCACAGCCCCGAAAAGTCTCTGGGGTTCTTCTGCTCTGCCGCACGGTGTTGCTGCCATCTGTGGGAATCGCCTCCGCGGAACTCGGCAATGAGTATGGTCATCGAGGAAACATTACTGTCAATGGAACCCTGCCATCTCACAGATTATATGAGAGATGCTAAAATGTGAAAAAAAAAATCCCCTTGCTATTGGAATGACTGCGCAACAGGTCATTATTGGGTATAGGGAACCAGAGAGAAAGAATGCCGTGCAGTTCCACGTCACCCAGGGGAGACTTTCGGCAAAAGAAATGTTCTTGTTCGGACTTTCAGGAAAAGAGCAAAGGTGGCGAGGACAGGGTTGATGGAGTGCTTCTACATGCCAGCGCCATGGCTTTCCATCTTTTGTTTGCAAGGAAACTCTCCAAATTCTTCGGTCATTGCCACACAGATGAGGAAGGGGGGGGGGGCGGGGTTAAGAGGCTCAGCAGACAAAGCTTTGATGAGCATTCCAGGCAGCAGAAAAGCAAGGCAGGTCTCCAAAGAGTAAGACGCATGGCAAGTGAGTCCATGTAGCTAGATCACAGGGCCCACGGAAGAACAGGAGATCACACAGAAGAGTCTGTATGACTAGCTAAGGCCAAAAAAGTCTCTCCGTGTTCCCTGGTAGGCCAGAGAACCTTTGGAAAGCGCTCTTGGCATGCATAGGGGTGACGTGGCCGCATCGGGTTTGCTTCGCTTTGCTTGTGAGAGGAGGGTCATTATGCTGTTGTCATGGCCACCAAGAACTACATTGTGACGGACGGCAACATAAAGAAGAGACGGACAAGTGAGAGCCTAGCAGCCAATCTGTTAAGCTGTTTTACAGGAATATAGGCAAATGATGATAAGGCTTTGAGCAAAGGCAAAGACAGTAAAATTAAGGAAGGAACACATTTATAGAGTTCTTTAGACTTATAGGACTAGATAAGCCATTGGGGGCGGGGGAGAAAGGGAGGAGTAGAGAAATGGATTAATTCTCCTTTTTCTCGCATATATAGCTAGCTAGATGTTTTAAGAAGGCCCGATTGGGGACTGAGGACAATGAGATACACTTTGAATATGTTCATTTTGATGGGTTTCCATGCGACACACAGAGTGTCGGTCTCTTGGCAAAAGTCTGAGTGGCATAAGTCGTGTTGTAAAAAAAAAAAGTCATGCTTTAAGAATCTAATGGTCTAAGATCTTAATGGTTTAAGAATGTGATGAAAGTGTGGCCTAAGAAGGTCCCTGACGTACAGGAGTGTGTGAGCCAGGTATCACCTAAGAACCACAGGTAAAAGAAGGGATCCCTGTACTTCTGGAGAACACCTTAGTACTTCAAAGGAAAGCTAGTTTTCTATCGGGGCCCTTATCATTCATAGAAGCAACTCTGATGGCGCATTGGTTACACCTTCAGCAGCTGCACCTAATGGTCAGTGGTTTGAACCCACCAGCCGCTTCATGGAAGAAAGATGAGGCAGTCTCTGCTTTCACAACGATTACAGCTTCGCATACCATCAGGGACAGTTCTCCTCCCGAGTGGTGGCCCGAGTGGGAATCCACCTGATGGCCGCGGGGTTTCCGCTGGAGTCACCCCCAGTCTTAGGCAATTGCATTCTTCGTGCCCGAGGAGTGTGTGTAACTAAGTTGACTCAGGAGCTGGCTCGTTTTCACGGGCGTTGCGATTCCGTGCTTTTAACAAGCAGGAGGACTTCCGCTTTCTTTTGTAAATCATATCCTGTT